CTGGGGAATTCTGGGAGTGGAAGTCCACCCATCTTCAAGTGGCCAAGGTTGACAAACACTGCCCTAAGTAGATGGCTGTCTGGAGCCTCAGTCCCTGGGCTCCGTAGAACAGCCTTCTCCAACCAGGTGACCCCATGGGTGTTGGATTTCATTTTTAGCACCTGCTTAAGGGATTTGGGGAGATGAATCCCCCCCACATCAAGAGGGTACCGGGGCGGGGCAGATTAGAGACATGGTGCAACGCAGATCTTGCCCTGGGCCATCCAGCAACTTGCAAACGCTTGGCGCGATGTGTCTCATTGCTCTCGGAAAGGCTACGCTGGGCCATCCCGTCGACGTTCGTGTCGCTCCTCCGTCAACCTCCGTCTTCTCAACAGGCCTGCTCAGCAGACCCTCCCTGCAGGATGGGCCGGTCTCTGGCTCCCGTTAAGCTGCCCTGGCCCAAATTTAGCCCTCTGCTAACCCGCGGGGAAGGGCGATTCCAGCCGGTGCCAGCCTCCTGGAGGCTTGAAAAGGGAGCCCACGACTCTGGTTCTCCTCCACTCCCCCTCCAGCCTGCTCCACCCCAGTTATGCCCCTCTTCCCCACACGATTATCTCATTTGGCAGCTGATCTGTCCCGGGGCTGGGGACAGGCGGCTTTGGGGTCAGATGTCAACAGGTTGGAATGCTTTGGGCTTGCAAGGAAAGGGGTCTGGGGGGGTGGAAGACCAACAGAGGGAAGTCCTGCTGTGTGCTGCAGGGGAGGGGAGGCAGCGAACTTAAATTAAAGGCAGATGCAAAGGATTACACGCGGAGAGGAAGCACACTCAACTTGCACAAACGCTGTTTAATCTGTTAACACGGAGCAGGATTTTCCGTCTTTGTGCTCGTGTGGGCTCCTCGAGTGTGGAAGGGCAGCCCCAAAGATCCGCTCTGGTTTGGATCTCCTGTAAAGCTGAATAAATCAGCTGATTAAATTGGGAACTGTTTTAACGATACTTAAATGGAAAAATATGAGCGACCGCACGGAGGCCCTTTTTAAAGATAACACTAAATATCTGCTCCCTATGGAATTGAGGTCCTCTTTGGAGGTGATTTAATGCTTTTTTTGAATGTATTAATCTAACCCATTCATCAGATGATGCAACGGTGGATTTAAATGCCCAGATAAAGATCGGAGCAAACTGGAGATGGATAAATCTCTGGGCAAAGAGATGGGAAATTGCTTAAAAATGGGAGCACAGTTGGTGGCGATGCTATTTCCTCCACCACCCCCGCCCACCACCCC